ACAAAGAGAGTTAAACTGCAAAAAAACCCTTTCTGTCTATTGGCTAATTCTTTACAGATTCAGTTGGATTCTCAACAGGCCTGCCAAGATTTCTTAAGGGCCGGATGAATGGTCCAATCATATCATGAGCTCATTCATAGACCCAAGAATTAAAGATGCAATAATAGCAAATAATCTTGGAAATTTTTCTATGGTGTACCAGCCAACCAAATGTAAACTTGAGTCCATTTGTAGATCTTGAGCTCTTTAGCCATTATGATCACTCTGAATAATGAGAATGAAGAATCGCTTCAAACATTGGCAAGCATTCAAAGATTCAAAACCAAATGCTTCTTCCTAGTTTACCTTTTTGAAAAAGATGACACAAACTACTCCCCCAAACTAGTGACTTGCCTACATTGGTAAACATTCTGGTACTGATGGCCTCTGGTGTTTCTTGTTTCTAGTCATATTGTCCTTTTGAGCAAGGGTCACTCTTACTCCCAAGAGGAAAGTCAACATGACTCACTGCCAGAAACCGAAAGTACACCATGTCCACATGAGTAGTGCTGCTCACTGCATAACCACAAAACCACATCAGAACCAGTCAGCTGCTCAGGAAGAAGAGGCAGTGGACTGAACAAACGCATCCCCTAGTCCAGACAGCCCGGCTGTGGAAGGACCCTAGGCTCTTTTGCTAAGCAGAGACTTGGCTCAGAGGACAAACATCAGCAGCAAGAGCACAGAGGGTCCTGACCTCTGTTTACTGGACACAGGGAAACAAGGGCCCTCCCAAGGCCCCGCTGCAACGCAGTGGGGTTTTGACTTCACTGCCCTTGCCCTCTCCTTTGGCACTTTCTTCCCCTCGTTTCCATCCTCTCTCTAAACAGCTGGTGCCCCTCGCTACACTTTGTGTTAGGTGATCCGGGGAAGGGTTCAAGGGAGTGGGGTTTGGCTCTGGATTGGATGCCATCAGGATTCTATAATTGAGTATTTTAATATTTCTTATCTAGAAGGTTTGAAGAACAAAACAAGGCTAAAGCTATACTTGGTAAAGCAGCCTCACTCACTCACTTTGAGACAATGCTCTTGGTTTCATCTGTGCTCAGACATAATTATGGAATGATTCTTTTTTCTTGCTCCATCATGCTCACAAAGTGGCCTTGTCAGATGTTGATGTTCTGTGAAATTGTTTCTATGCCACAGGAGACCACCGAGGCCTAGCCATGAATTCAGGGCCAGCCCCAGCAATACAAGGCCCGGCTGACAGAGCCAGGCCTGCACCTGCCTGTCAGGGGCTGCTTTGCTTTAAATCTCAGTCCTGCAGTACAGACTCTTACCTTTCCCTCCCAGCTTTGGCTTACATTGTTTCTGCTCTCCATTCCCTCCTTGGGACAATTCCCACTCTTCCAAGTGGCATAAAGTAATTAGAAGAATTAATCTCAGTTAATACAAGTTAATGTTCTGTCCCTAAGGGGTTGTAGGGGTCTCATATACCTACATTATAATAGTGGCCTTTCAGAGGCGAGAGCTGCTTGCAGATAAACCATCATAATGAAACTGGGATACAGTGTGGAAGATTATACATTCAGGACTTTTCCAATTAAACCCTAGAGACAGGCAGCTCCTCTGCCAGCATATAAAGCTCACCCTGCATTTCATGGCTACAGTTGAACTTCCAGGAAACCAACCAAATGTGTGTCATTCGTGTTACCCCACCGCTGATTTCTCCGGGCTATGGGGCTGGCTTTCTGCCCACAGCTCTGGGAGTCTCTCCCTCCACGCACAGTCTCCTCTCCTCTCCTCTGGCTGGCTAGTCTCTGCTCGCTTTGCTAGTTTTTATATGGAGGTGCTATCATTGAACTCGTGCTGGAGCTCGACTTGCAACCCTCGGGAGCTGCTTCCAGAATGATCACGCGTGTCCTGAGCAAGCCTCCCATTCCCACTTGCCTTTCCACTGCTCTGGGACTGACTGTGAGGCCTTGTGACTTCCCTCTCAATACTCTGCTGCTGCCACCTGGTGAAAACTCACAACCAAACAGGACACTGGAGTTGCCATTGACTTCAGACTCCCCCTAGGCACCCGCACACAGACCCCGGGAATCAGACGCCCGCAGACGTCAGTCTGTAAACCCGCGTGGCGTCCAGTCCCGGCCAAAGAGGCCTGGCCGCCGGCTCTCCCGGACAAGCCCCGCCCACCTTTCCCTCTGCCGCCTCTCCTGAGCCCTAGTGCTGCCGGGAACGGCTGACCTGCAAGGATCCAATTCTTTGTTAAAAATCTTTGCTGAGACTAGAAAGGAAATAAAAATAAAAAGGGTCTGGACCTGCAAAGGGGCCACAGTCGGCCCTGCGGGGTAAGTGGGTGGAATTCCTGAGGATATCTTGCTGATTCGTCGCAGTTCTGTCTATGGTGGGGCTTAAGAAATAAATGCAATGCCAACATTCACACCAAAGAAACAAGAAATAAATACCTATATGTTTACCTTCTGCTTACATCAGGCCGGACATTTTATTTAATCTTCAAAATAGCTCTATGACATACATATATATTTATACACATATTTAACTGTGTATATCTGTGGGGTACAATGTGATGTTTTAATCTATGTATATGTTGTAGACAGATCCCATCAAGCTAATTAGCATACCCATCACCTCACTAACATAACATTTTTGTGGTGAGAACCTCAAAAATTGATTCTTTTAGCAATTATAAAATATACATTATTATTAACTGTGGTCACTATGGAGTAGGATAGATCACTAAAACTTATTTTTCCAGTCTAACTAAAATACTGTACTCTTTGATCAACATCTTCCCTTTCCATCCCTCCCTGAGATAATACATATTAATATCCCCACTTCCCAGATGTGGAAACTAAGGCACATGGAGGCCGAGCCACCCCATTGGTTAGGAGAAGGGTTGAGGTTGAACCTCACTGAGCAATGTTCTCTTAACTTCTGCATTTTTCTGACTCTTACTATGTTACCTGGAGAACTGATCACAGGAGAAAAGAGAAAGGGAAGGAGAGAAACGTCCTATCTCCTGCCCGAGCCTTCACCCTGGGCCTCTCTGTAACTCCATTTCACAGGTACCTCCCTGCTGCTGGACCAGATTCCCAGCTTCCATGGCCTCACGGAACATGGAATACCAAAAATCATCCTTTCTCTTTGATCTGGATGGCTGTAATAAGAGATCAGCACGAGAAACACAAAATTCAAATTCACCTCCAGTTCTATTAAAAAAAAATAAGAATTATTAAAATCTGTGTATAGATATATATGTAGAATAATAATACTGTAAATGTAATCTGAAAGCTTGAAGAAGCTTTTAAATAGATTTTAAAAGACTGATTTTTAAGGCTGGGCCTAGTGGCTAATGCCTGTAATCCAAGCACTCTGGGAGGCCAACGTGGGAGGGTCACTTGAGCTCAGAAGTTTGAGACCAGCCTGAGCCAGAGTAAGACCCCATCTCTACTAAAAAATAGAAAAAATTACCTGGGTGTGTTGGTGCGTGCCTGTAGTCCCAGCTACTCAGGAGGCTGAGGCCCGGGCAACACAGTAAGACTCTTGTCTTTAAAAAAAAAAAAAAAAGGATAATTTTTAAAACCAAAGTAACAACTGAATGAATTTCTGTGCACTAAAGAACCTTCCGGGTCATGAAAAAGTTCAGGCTGATGGATTTGAGATGTAAGAAGGACTTCGGGAGTAGAATGTTTGCACCCCGCCACCTGCCCCGACCAGCCAGCCTGGGGGCCCTTCCAGTGGGTGAGAAGCCCACTTGGCAGCATGAGGCCTGGGAGGCATCACTGTTTTAGGGGAAGCTTTGGACATACAGGAAGAGAATGAGGCAAGTTGGTGAAAGGAGGAACTCCCTCGAAGAACACTTAGGTCTGGACCTCGGCCATGGCCAGGAAAGGAACTCAAGATGACACTGGAGTGGAGGTCACGGCTCGTGGCTACACATGTGTTTTGTTTGGCTCACTCATTGCTTTCTAAGCTATGAATCAGTGCCAGCATTTAAAAATCAGGAAATTTTACATAAGTTTATATCTTTGACTTCTCTTAAGAAATGGGAAGAACTGTAATGGTAACACTGGGCCCATGTCCCACATGGGAACAGGCTGAGTCCATTCAGGCCAGAAGGGCAGTGCCTGGCCTGGTGCCCACCTGGCCTGTGGCAATCACTTGGCTCCCCTCTGGGAACCTGCAAGCATTTGTGTCTTTGGCTTCTGATCCAGCAGTGGCTGCTCAGGGTCCTGGGGCAGAGGGCTCCACCAGCAAAGGACAGTGGACTGCAGCTAAAATCGGCCCACGCCCCTCACTCTCAGCCTGCAGACAGTGGCGCGACCACAGAAATGTAGACACAAAGCCGGACACAAATGACCTTCACCCCATTTAAGAACTCCCCTAATTTGACCCAAACTTAGCTTCTCAGCATAATTTCCCATTAAGTCCTTCATATATCCTACAATGCAGCCACACCTGTGAGAATATTTACTGTTCCCTAAATATTCTTCTCGGATTTGAACCCTCTATTTGGAGTGTCTCCTCCTCTCTGCCTCAGTGCCCCATCTCTGCATGCCCAACCCATACCCGTCTTTCATGGTCTGTCTCAAACTTCACTTCTTCTACAAAATCTTCTTCAATTCCTGTAGTCAGAATTATCCCTCATCCTGTCTTACCATAGCATTAGTTTGTATACCTCCTGTAGGATTACCACAATCTGACTTATATTAATTTAAGAATTGCTGAAAATCAGAAATTGCCTCTTAGGTATTGGCTTCTACTGCCATCTACTGACCATAAAGTAGAATTATGCCTAAAGACTGCCAAGTCAGTAAGAACCACAAACATTCCAAACCAACCCATCCATTCATTTTCTTACTTTCCTTTATTTTTCTTTCTTTCCTTTATTTTCTTTCCTTCCTTTTTCTCCTTTTATTTTTTTATATTCTTTTTTGCCTTCTTTTGTTTATCCATTAATCCTTCACTCAACACAATTTTTGATCGTCTCCTAGGTGACAGAACTGTGAAACAATACAAATGTGCATAAAGACAAAGAACTCCCACTGCGGGCCAAGGTGCAGCAAGCTCACTTAACTTCTATCTCCCATTGATTACAAGCAAAAATTGTGGACAAAACACAAAATGCAACTACCTGAGAACTCTGAGAAGTTAAGAATGCAAGCTGATTATGGAGAATCTAAACTTGAAGGAAAATCCATACACAGGTGAATTTCTTTGGTATTTTTCCCCTTTTGTTTTCCTGCTTTGATCTATGAGTGGTTCCACTGTGGAACCAAGCAGCAGGTATAGGCAGAAAAGGCTTTGAGAGTAATATGGTATTTCTGGTCAGAAGACCTAGAAAAGAGGTCACTATAAAAAGAGGACTGGGAAAAATGGACATGATAGGGAATTCCCATTTGTTTATCCTATTTTTCTTCCAGTTCTACACCAAGGGCAGCCTCAACCATGAATCTGCAATGCTGGGGCACCAGTGACCCTGTCTAACTTCCTAAGAGAAAACACGAGAACCAGAAAAAGGGGAGCCCTGTGGTGCAAAAGGCATGGTGGAATCACTTTTATTTTTTCTACTTCTCTCTTTTTTCCATGACTTTTCCCTGAAAGTGGCCCTAGTTATAAAGAATTATGGGTATTATGGTCACTAGAACTTCCAGTTAAGTGTTATCTTTAGAGTCACATAAGGAGACAAAGGAGCCCCCAGAAGCCAGATAATTTGAGAAAATTGCTGAGTAGGAAACAACAGGAGATGTCCTAATACTGTGAGTAAATCAGCATGTACTGAGGTCATCTCTGAGTGGCACAAACACTGAACATATGCAGAGCAACATAGCGAAGGCCTTGAAACCTTAACCAACATTGGAACTGCCATCCAGAGAAGGTAAGATAAAACTTGCAGTCTAAAAATAACAGGATTGAATACTTGCAAAAATAATAACAACAAAAATCAACATTCTTCAGAGGGTTTCAGCAGTATAATACTCAGAGTATCTAGATAAAATTCAAACTTACTTGACCACTCAGAAGTGGCCAGAAAAATCAGGACAAAATGTAATCAACAGATGTCAATCCTGAGATGACCTAGACATAGAAATCAGAGAAAGATTTTAGAACAGCTATTCTAGAAGTAATCACTCCTGAAATTAAAGATAGAAGCTCTCAGTAGAGAAACAGGAGCTACAAGTAGAGAACCAAATGAAACTTTTAGAACTGAAAAATCTGATATCTGAAATATAAATTCACTAAACAAACTCAGGGGAGATGGCAGAGGAAAGAGTCAGCAAACAAATAGAGATCAATAAAAATTATTCAATCTGAAGAATACAGAGGAACAATATTGAAAAAAATAAACAGAGCCCTAGGGACCTGGAGGAAAATATCAAAAGATCTAATATTCACCTCATTGGAATTTCAGAAAAATATGAGAAAAAGATTGGCACAGAAAAATTATTTGAAGAAATAATGGCTAAAAGATGTCAATTATAAAAAGAAAAATATAACATAGGGGAGTAAAATTATAAAGTTTTTGTATGTAATTTAAATTAACTGGTTATCAGCTTAAAATAGACTGCTATAACTTTAATATGTTACATGTACGCCTCATGATAACCACAAAGCAAACCCTATATTAGATATACAAAAGATAAAAAGAAAAAATTAAAAGCATGTTACTACAAAAAAATCATCAAATCACAAAGGGAGATTCAAACTAGCCAGAAAACAATTAACAAACTGGCAACAGTAAGTCCTTAACTATCAATAATTATCTTGACTGCCAACAGATTAAAGTCTCTAACCAAAGACAGTGAGTGGCTGAATGGATTTAAAAAAAAAAAAATTCCCCGACTATATACTGTTACAAGATATTCACTTCAGCTTTAAGGACATAGACTCAAAGTGAAGGTATGGAAAAAAATGTGCCATGCAAATGAAAACCAAAAGAGAGGAAGGGTAGCTATAGTTGTATCCGACAAAATAGACTTTAAGTCAAAACCATAAGAAGAGAAAAAAGAAGGTAATTTTATAATAATGAAGGGGTCAATACATCAAGAAGATATAACAATGGTAGATACATATGCACCAAACATCAGAGCACCTAAATACATAAAGCAAATGTGAATAGATCAGAAGGGAAAGATAGTCAAGAATGCAATAATCGTGAATAATTTTAATATTCAACTTTCAACAATGGATAGATCATTCACACAAATAATCAATAGGAAATATTGGATTTAAACTACACTTTAAACAAAATGGAACTAACATACATATACAAAACACTCCGTCCAACATAAGTGTACACACATTCTTCTCAAGTGCACATGGAACATTCTCCTGGATAGATAATATATTAGATAACAAAAAAATGTTTAAATATTTAAGAAGATTGAAATTATATCAAGTATCTTTTCTGATCACAATTTCTATAAAAATAGAAATTAACAACAGCAGGAAAACTTGAAAATTCACAGTCTGAGGAAATTAAACAACATTACCCTGAACAATCATTGGGTCAAAGAAGAAATCAAAAGGAAAATTTAAAAAATATCTTGAAATAAACAAAAATGAAAACAAAATGTATCAAAACTTATGAGAGGCAGCAAAAGTAGTTCTAAGAGGGACATTTATAGCAATAAACACCTACATTAAAAAAGAAGAAAGAACTCAAATAAGCAAACTAATATTACACCTTAAGGAACTACAAAAAGAAGAAAAAACTTCAGCCTTGGTAAAAGGAAGGAAATAGCAAAGATCAGAGCAGAAATAAATAAAATAGAGGCTAGAAAAACAATAAATAAATATCAACAAAAGTAGGAGTTAGGTTTTTTGAAAAGACTAACAAAATTGACATTTAATTAGGATAAAAAAAAGAGAGACAGAAGATTCAAATAAATAAAACCAGAAATGAAAGAGGAGATACAACTGACACCACAGAAATACAAAAAGATGATAAAAGACTACTGTGAACAATTATACACCAACAAAATGAACAACCTAGAAGAAATTAATAAATTCCTAAAAACATACAACTATCAATTCTGACTCTTGAAGAAATAGAAAATCTGAACAGACCAATAGCTAGTAATGATATTAAATCTGTAATCAAAATTCTTTCATCAAAGAAAAGCCCAGTACCTGATGGCTTCCTGGTAAATTATATCAAACATTTAAGCAAGAATTAATACCAGTCTTTCTCAAGCTCTCTCAAAAAATTGAAGAGGAGGGAACACTTCCAAACTCATTTTATGAGGCCAGCATTACTCTGATACCAAAACCATACAAAGATATGGTGAGAAAATTATAGGCTAATATCCCTAACAGATGCAAAAATAGATGCAAAATTCCTCTAACAAAATAGTTGCAAATCAAATTCAACAGCACATTAAAAGGGTCATATACCATGATCAAGTGGGATTTATCCCTGGGATATAAGGGTGGTTCAACAAACAAATGCAAATCAATACATGTGATACACCACATTAACAAAACAAAGGATTAAAATCATATAATCATCTCAATAGATGCAAAAAAGTATTTGACAATAATCCAACTCTCAAGAAATTAGGTAGAAATAGTGTACTTCAACACAATAAAAGCAATATAGCACAATCTCACAGCTAACATCTTACTCAAAAGTTGGGAGCTTTTTCTTTAATATCAGGAACAAGACAAAGATGTCTGCTCCCACCACTTCTATTTGACATTGGACTGGGAATCCTAGCCAGACCAATTAGAAAAGAAAAATAAATAAAATGGCAAGTGTGGTGGCTCTTGCCTGTAATCCCAGTGCTTTGGGAGGCTGAGGAGGGAGAATCACTTGAGGCCAGGAGTTCAATACCAGCCTAAGCAACATAGCAAGACCCCATCTCTAAAAAAAAGTTTTGTTAAAATTGTCCATATATAGTGGTATATACCGGAGTCCTAGCTACTCAGGAGGCTGAGGCAGGAGAATCACTTGAGCCCAGAAGTTCAGTGTTGGAGTAAACTATGATCATATCGTTGCACTCCACCCTGGGTGAGAAAAGAAAAAAAAAAAGAAAAGGAAAAAGAAAAAGAAAAAGAAAAAGAAAAAGAAAGAAAAAGAAAAAGAAAAAGAAAAAGAAAAGGAAAGGAAAGGAAAGGAAAGGAAAGGAAAGGAAAGGAAAGGAAAGGAAAGGAAAGGGCGAGAGAGAGAGAGAAAGGATGAGCATCCAAATTGGAAAGGAAGTGTAATTATCTCTATTTGCAGATAACATGATTTTATATAGAAAGTCCTAAAAACTCTACCAAAAAATTAGCACAAGTAAGCTAATTTTAAAAATTTAGCACTAATAAGTAAATTTAGTAAAATTATAGAATACAAAATCAACATACAAAAATAGTTTTGTTTCTATACAAAGCAACAAACTATCCAAAAAGGAAACTAAGAAAACAATCCCATTTATAACAGCATCAAAAAGAAGAAAATACTTAGGAAAAAATTTAACCAAGGAGGTGAGAGTTCTGTATATCAAAAACTATAAAACATTAATGAAAGAAATTTAAGAAGACACAAATAAATGAAAAGATAATCCTGTGTTCATGGATCAGTAGAATAAATATTGTCCAAATTTCTGTAACACCCAAAGTTATTTACAGATTCAATGCAATCCCTATCAAATTTCACAGAAATACAAAAAACAATTCTAAAATTTACATGGAACCACAAAAGACCCTGAATAGCTGAAGCAATCTGGATCAAGAACAAAGCTGAAGGCATCACAATTCCTGATTTCAAATTATATTACAAACCTATTCATAACCAAACAATATGGTACTAGCATAAAAGCAGGCACATAAACCAATGGAAAAAAATAGAAAGCTCAGAAATAAGCCTATACATACACAGTCAACTATTCTTTAACAAAGTGGCCAAGAACACACAAGCAAGAAATGATAATCTCTACAATAAATGATGCTGGGAAAATTGTATATCCACATGCAAAAAATGAAATTGGATCCTTATCTTACACTATACACAAAAATCAACTCAAAGTGGTTTAAATATTTAAATAAAAGAATGAAATTGTGAAACTCCTAGAAGAAACCATAGGGGGAACCTTTATGATATTGGTCTTGGCAATGAATTTTTAGATATGACACCAAAAGCACAGGCAACAAAAGGAAAAATAAATAAATGGAACTACATCAAACTAAAAAAAATTCTGCACTACGAATGAAATAATCAACA